AAATAAAAAAAAAAGAAAGATAAAAAAATCACAGTAGACATTGAACTTTCAAAAGTTGAGAAGATAACTGAGGTTACCAGAGGTGAGAAAGGAGGAGGAGGAGGGGGGTTAAGGGAGAAATTAGTAAAGGACTACAAAAAATGATTATATTGTGTAATATTGAATATGCTAATTATCCTGATTTGAACATCACATATTGCAGTCAGGTATAACTCTATACCCCACAGAAATGTGCAATCAACTATGTTACAATATTTTTTTTTTTAAATGAAAATTTGGTGAATGTTTAAATGTTTGCTGTTATAAAATTTTAATTTTTCACATGATGTAGACTTAGACTTTTTCTAGAATATCTATTTACCATATATAATAGAACAAAATATATAATTCTATATATAGTATACATATTCTAATGTTTAATACAATATATAATATAAAGAAAATTGTTTTTATTCAGACTTTGTTCCTTATTACCGTGAATTTAACTAAATTAATATAGTCTAGATGCTATTCAGAAAAATAAGTCAATCATAGTTGTATGAATAATGATCTCTGGCTTTTATGTCATTAACATTAGAGAACCTCAAATTGAATTAAGAGGCTGTACAACAATACTGTATAAGGGTTCATCAGCTATTTGGAGGTCATTTATACTGCTAATGTTTATGTTATCTTAACAGATAACCCATCTTGAATATGGCAATAACTATTGCTCTGGTGCTTTTGAATGGGAATAAATAGTTACAGCCTAATAGATTTAACACGTAATGAAAATGGGTTGCAATCTATAATATGACATGCTGAAGATTCACCAAACCTCAGGTATTGACTGACTCTTCAAATTGGTCGTTCGCAACTAATTAGGGACCTTCCCTGACCAATACACTTTACTTATTTTTTAAAATAAACAGCAAGATAGCTGATAAAATTTCATAAAGCAACTGACCACAAAGCAAGGCAATTAAATTGTGAAAAGGTTAGTTTTGAGCACATGATCAATAAGTAAAGTAGGAACAAATCAATGGAAAGAACTGAAAGATGCTAAATGTAAATTTAATTAATATCATTAGTTTTATGGGTAGGAAACTCTATGAGGCAACAATGGAGTGGTGACTGGGTTAGTTATTAATTTTATCGAACACGTAAATTGATAAGCTTTTCTAAGGACCAGGTTTTGGTTCTTTTTCATGTCCTTAAAAGAAGTCTTCTGAGTTTTTTAAAGAGCTGAGTGCAAATCATAGTTCTCAATTTTACTAATTCTTAACTTTGTGCATATTGTTTATATTCTCTCAGCTGTACTTCTTTTGTCTGTCAAATGGAATTAGTAAAATTTTACAGAATGGGATTATTGGAGGATTAAATAACATGAAGAACATGAAATAGTTTCTGAATCAATGTTACTTCTATATCTGTAATCCTTTTATAGCTATATCATTCTGCTCTCATTTTACTCATTTAATCCTGTGGGGAAATTGGGATGTAATCCAACTGATACTTTCTGAACATGCAATAAACAGTAAATTAATTTTTGCTTGGTATCTGCCTTTTTGGCCCACTCCCATGATTGTTCATGCCTGTTAAAGTGTAGGCCTGGCCAGCTCAAATAAGGTCCTATAGGGCTGCACCAAAGCAGGGCATGAGGAGTCTTACCCATACCTACAAAATGGGACCCAAGGTCATGGTCAGGGTCAGGACAAGACAGAGGTTAAGGAGACAAAGATCACAGTGCAAAACTGGCAGTGTCCTGGGGAAGTTTTAGAGATGTTGGCAACTGCCTGAGATGGCTTTTGTATAATTAAGCTGGCTTTCTTTGAAGGGGCTAGATGGGGCTTGACTACCGGAACTCATCCTACAGGCCAGCAAGATGAGAGGTACAATTTCGTCCTCCTGAAAACAGAAAGCCCAGCATGTCTCTACCCTCTTACTACCTATTTTTTCTACACTATAAATTAAGTTTTAAAAAAATTTGAAAAAAACTCACTAAAAGAAATTGCCAATAGTTACAAATAGGCAGTGGTTTGTGTTGACATATATGTGAACTGTTATGTGTATTCTATGCGTTCTATATGTCTCTGTGTCTATATCCATAGCTATATGTATACAATTACATAACCTTATATGTTAGAGCCATTGTAAATTCAAGTACTCAGCCATCACTCAGCGTCCATGTGAGCTTTCAGAATAAGGTTCATACTCATGTACTATTTTCTCTGGCTGGTATATTTGCTTTCTCCTTCCTTTTCTCTACCAGATAAACTTCTATTTCTCCTCTGAGATTTAGCTCAAGATTATTTCTCACAATAAACACATCTTAATAATTTTTTTATTCCCTAATTTTTTACTATCTGGCACAGTACATGCTCAAAACATATTTGATGAAAGAATAATTGTATAGTTAAATGCAAAATGGTGATGGATGACAGAGGAGAACAATATACAGATACACCTTATTTATTTTGTCATATATCATTTTTCAACCTAAAGAGTAAAATGATTAAGGTAGAGAGATAATAATACCTTGGAGATCACCTAATTATTTTTAAATTTGTAACCTGACAAACTTTACAAAATGGTTAGAAAATCTTCCAGTTAGCCTTGTATATGTAGAAAGGGGGGGGGGGTTGTAAATAACTTTTGTGTAGTACTTTAACTTTTATAAAACACTGTCCATTTTTTCATGAAATAAATAACAATAGTTTTATGAATGGCTACTACTTCTCTAACCAATGATCATGTTAGCTGATCTCACATCACACTGACAAAATATTTCACTGTGTGGAGGTCAGAGAGCATAGAGATGTGGGGGGAGAGAAGATAAATGTATCAGGAAGAATGAATGAGGTAGTGTTTGCAGTTAACTACAAAAGTAAGCACTGAACTCCTGGCCATTCAGAGAAAATTGGGAACCTCAAGTAACTATAACTGGAGAACAACATAAGGCAGGAGAGCTAATGGCAGGAGGGGTGTTATATTTCGGGGCATAGTCAGAGGGGCTTTAGAGACTGGTGAGTGTGTGGGGAGCAAGGCAAGAGAGTGAAGATTGGGTACAGCTGTTTGAGAGATTCTGAGAGTGACTGAGAAGAGAATTGAGGTGACACCTGGTCTTATAAACTCACTTACCTCTGAGATTTTTGAGTGTGATCACCCTAAAGATTCAAATTATTTAGTTATTTTTTACTTGCTGTACTATTTTTTGTGTTGTTAATTGAAAAGAAAGTGTAATAATCAAATACAAATGCATGCAAGTCTGATAATTAAATACTGTCTAAGCTTTTCCTGGTTTATTTTTTCTTTTTCTTTTATGGTTTCCTTCAATGCAATTCTAAGGTAAACCAAGACCACAGTTTAGCACTACATTTATGTAGGTTTCATACAACACTGTAGATGCCATTTAGTGTAATGATTAAGAGGATAGATTCTGGAGCCAGATTGCTTGGGTTCAAATCTCAGCTCTGCTACTTGCTATCTATAATCTTGGGCAAGTTGCTTACCACGTCTGTGCTTCCCTAATAAAATAGAGGTAATGGAAGCATGTAGCTCGTATGGATGTTTTGTGAAGCAATTGTCCATGCAGATAAAAAAGTGTTAGAATAATGCCTGACCACTGTGCCTGCCACATTATAGACAATTAACAATGCTTGGTTATTGTTATTATTATCATTATATACAGGTGATGTAGAAGAACATTTATGAGGCCAATATTTATAATTAATATATTCATTCATTTTACAAGTACATTGACTGCTTACTCTGTCCCCAGCATGTGCCAAGTGCTGAGGATTAAGGCAGAAGACGCTTATGAACTCTAGGCCATTAGAATCAGTCAGAAAGGACTTTCTATCAGAAGATGAACTGATACAGACCTACATGGCACTTGTATAGAGCTGAGACAATCTAGATGGTTAACATGTGCCTTACATAAATTTAATAAAATTATCCACAATATGAAATATACTTTCTCTGAGAAGAGTTTTTCAAAGAGTGGGTTTTTTTTTTTTCCTTTTTTGTCTTTTTTCGTGACCGGCAACGGATCGCAACCCTCGGTGTCGCGCCCACGCCTCGCTCAGCCAGTGAGCGGCCGGTCTGTATGTGGGATCCAAACCCTCGGCGGGAGCGCCTGCTGCACTTCCCAAGCGGCACACTGTAGCAGTGCGCCACCGGGCCGGCCCAAAGAGTGGGTTTTTATGAGTGACTTTATCATACTATTACTGAAAATGCAAATACTAGATATGTATGTAGCAGAATTGACATTAAGCTGTGGATGTAAAGAGCCTGAGTTGAGTTAGATGGAGTGAAAGACTTCCCCATCCCTACACTGAGATGGGCCTCTGAGATTGTGCCTGTGCAAGTAAAACACTTCCATTCCATATAAGAAATAATTTTTGGTGTATGATCATGGACTACTATGATGACTTGCTTTGGCAAGATATTGCTGTATAATATAGCTGAGTAGCACAGAAAGCAGGAAAGAATGGGTTTCCAAAATCTTTTATTGTTCTCTATCTTCTCCAGTCTGGATAAAAGGGAGTTGCAACAACCATTTACATTAAATGATTATTGGAGCATAAAATGATCATGAAAAACATAGATGTATAGCTGTGCAGGAACTTTACATGTGATTATAGTTTAATACTAGTTATAAAATAGCTGGAAAGGAAGATGAAAGATTCAGTAAAGATCTTTTACCAATAAAGTGAATAGAGTTTTTTTTAGTGTGTGTTAGGTACCTGAGCTTCTTCCTAATTAAACATTAAAGGTTAAAGATTAAGAAGATAGCCTCAGATTTCATATTTAAGACCCAGAAAGAAAAAAAATGTTCTTATGAAAATACGTAGTATTTATGTAGTGTATTGAATTAAATCTAGTATTATATTATCACCAATTATCTCATTTTGGACTAATTTAATGCTCTAAAAAATATCCTATCCTAATTGCATTTTAAAATACAGCAATATCATAACTTCGTTTCTAGCTCACACACCTTCATTTGTCTTTTTCAGGTTTATTTCCTGCTGTCCTGAATCTTGCTTCTAATGCTCTCATCACTACTAATGCAACGTGTGGAGAAAAAGGACCTGAAATGTATTGCAAATTGGTAGAACATGTCCCTGGGCAGCCCGTGAGGAACCCCCAATGTCGAATCTGCAATCAAAACAGCAGCAATCCATACCGTATGTATTTTTGTATGTATTTGTATGGCACTGGTTGGATAATTGTGAGATTTTGAGGCCAAGATGCATTAAATTCAAAGAGCCTATGATCCTAAAAATTCCTAGAACTTTTCTTCCACTGTGAGCCTCTTTATGGCCCCTCTCTGACATTCGACAGACATTATTGGAGTTCCTTATATGTCCAGGTACAGTGACTAGAGAGAATTCTCTAGCTGAAGACTGTCAGTCATCATATTTACTGCCTCCGGAATGGTATCTGAAGATGTGGTTATTAATTTGGGCTTTAGTCATTTACTGGTCACTATGTGCCAGGTACTGTGGTAAAGATCCACGAGGAATAAGGTATGGCTCATGGCCTCAAGTAGTGAGCAAAGGAACAAGAAGGTGGCTCTTGCTGTATAGTGTGGTAAGTACAAAGGAATGAATGAGCACGGGGTCGTGATGAAGAGAGAGGAGGATTGCAAATTGAGTCTTGGTGTCAGTGAAGGCTTGCCAGAGGAAGTGATGTCCAAGCTGATAACCAAGGGCAAGTATGAGCTGGGTGGATAAAGAGGAGATGGAGGGCAAGAAGAAATGCCAGGAAGAGAGATCAGAATAAGACAGAAAATCTTACTTGCTCAGAGAGCTACAAGTGGTTAGAAATGATTAGAACTGAGTGTCAGAGGGCAGAGGGTGGGGATGAGTCTAGTGCAGAAGGCTGGAACCAGATCATGAACATTCGTAAAAACCATGGGAGAGGTGTTTTAAGGAGAGGTGATGTGCAAAGGCCTCCTGCTGGCCTCTGTGAACCATACTGATATCTCAGACTCATTCGTGTGTTCATTCAACAGCATTCGAGCACCCACCACTAGTGATGCATTGTACTGGAACATAATGTTAATCATACCTGGCTCTTGATTTAGGGGACAAAGAGGGCTAATGGGGAAAGAGAGAAGTAAATCGGGTGCTAAGGGAACATGTAGGTTCTATGTATATGCTATAGACATCCAAAGATTCCTGGGGGAAAGTGACCCATATGCTGAAAAAGTACAGTTATAGCAAAATTAAAGGAGAGAAAAGCATTATAAAAGGAAAAGCATACATAAATCTTACAAGTATGAAACAGCATGATATATTCAGAGAACTGTAAGTAATTTGGCTTAATGAATGAAAAACTTGTATGGTGAAGGGTGGAATGGTATGAGATAATTTTAGAGATGAAGATTGATTTAGAGCTATACATTGGAAAATTATTTTTAAAAATGAGGGGATTAATAAAGTGAATACTAAATGCCAGGTGGGGTGATTTAGGATGGGGATAAAGCCTCACAATTCTACTATTTCTAAATTTGCTCAGTTTTCCTTCTCTCTCTCTTTTTAGTAGATTTTATTTTTGAAAGCAGTTTTAGGTTCACAGCAAAATTAAGAGAAAGATACAGAGATTTCCCCAACACATGGGTAGCCTCCCGTTATTAGTACCCCCCTCCAGACTGGTGTGTTTGTGACAATTGATGAACCTACGCCGACACATCATTATCATCCAAAGTTTATAGTTTACATGAGGGTTCACTCTTGGTGTTGTACATTTTATGGGTTTGGACAAATGTATAATGATTTGTATCCACCATTGTAGTATAATACAGAGTAGTTTCATCACTCTTTTTGAAGAAAAAAAATTGTAAAACATAAAATAAAGAAAGCTTTTTCTCACAATTTGCATTTTTTAAATTTAAAAGGACATTCTTGGGGGGAAGGGGAGAGAGGGAGGAGGGAGGGAGGTGTCGGTGATGGGCCATAATAATCATATACAGTGTATATTGACAAAATAAAAATTTAATGAAAAAAAAAGAAAAGAAAATTGGGAGGCATTGTGCATTCGTTCTTAGAGCTGGTTAAAGGGAAGGATGCATAGTCCTCTTTATTGTATAGCTTAGGGATGCACAAAACCTTAATATGTTTGGAGAATTGGAACTTTTATGATTAAAATTGGTGGTCTCGTATATCACAGACTATGTAATATTTATAAATAGATATTAAAATAAATATAACATATACTATGTATATTATATAATAATGTATTGTATATAATATATTATGATATTAAATATATTTATATAAATATTATATTTATTTATGTATTCAAATATATATATTTATACAGGAAAGGAGAGAAAGAAGGAAATGTATCGACATTCATAAATGTCTATAGACAATATAATGTATAGACAATCATAAAGACAGGATGGAAGAAAGACACAAAGACTGGGGTGAAAAATAGAGTGGAGACTCTTGGAAAAAAGGATGAGATACATTTCCCAAACTGAGTCCAAGAGCTACTCTGTCACTTATGCTCTTCAAAGTTCTATATTCAGGGCCTCTTGTATCTCGGTTGAAGACATCTATACATAGGCAATCCCATCCTGTGTTTTTGCATTGAGAAAGTTCTCAATTTTGTGAAAAACATGTGTCAGTAAAACACAATGCATGTGAGGTATGCTTTGTATTTCCCCATTTTTATTTACTTGTAGTGATTTTTTTAAAGCTTGACACAGTTTGGATTCACTTTGTGTGATTAATTTATTTTTAAATGACCATTTTTATTGCATTTCAAAATCATGTTTTGATACTAGAAATTTAGAAAGAATAAAACTCAACAAGAATAAAACTCTAGCAATAAACAACATATATATATGTTGATATATATATGTAAAATTCGAGCAACAGACAATAAAATTTCACCGATTCATTGAACTTCTAGAATAAACCTGGAAGGTCAGCATTTAATAACCAAACAGAGAAATTAAAACTTGAACTTGCTGACTGTTAATAGATTGTGTCTTGCCAGTTTTTGGAAGGAGTTAGCCCTTGGATTGACTTGTGTAGTTATCCCTGTTGAGGATAACTATCTCCTTTTAAATAAGGGAAGTATGCCAACAATTCATCAGTGTTTGCAAATTAATTATGATTAAACTTTCATAATGGGGATTATGGCTAATTGTTGATTCATCTCCCAGTCCTCCTTTTCATGACTAATTCTCATATCAATTTGACCTGAGCTGTCAGGTATCAAAATTTGCAATTAAACAGCTTCCCTCACAATTACTAACAGCCATGAATTTGATCTGGAAATGTGGTTGTGTGTTTATTTTTCTACACATATTAAACCTACAATCTGTAATAAAGATTCAAGAGGATGTTTGGGGAATGTTTGCTGTGATATTTGTTTTTCTTCAGAAGCAATGCCAGTAATATTTCATTTATGGTTTTGATTCCTTACGTGTCAATGTCAGCATCCACTCACTCCAACAGAGGCATTTATTTGATATTTAGTCATGCTTCTGGTATTTGCTGTCATGATAAAGACCTAACACCTTCCCTAGCTTCAACGGAACAATTTAACTACTGCTCATTATTAAATATATTCAGCAATTTTACTTTTCATTAATGAGACAGGATACCTCATCTAAGTGGACTCCTAATGTAATAAGACTTGGTACAAAATAAAGTTCATCAAGCTGTTTTGTTGAATTAAAAAATTTACAAGTAAAAATGGAATATTTTTGTCGTGTCCTATACACTCCTATTAAGATTTTGAATATAAGTATCTATATTTGGAATATGAATGTTGTACCATAAGCAACTCAAATACATAGCCTTTATGTTTTCAGTTAAAGGTTATAGAAGACTACTTAGATAAAGTTAATATATAATAAAAAATATTCACATAACTGAAAATGGCAAATTTAATGAATATTGTTTTTAATAAAAATTTTTTCTTTTGAAAATGATTTTACTTTACTGTCAGACTTCTGTAACGAGAGAGACTCAGTTTAGCCTGACTTTTATTGTTATTTTCAAATTTTTTATGAAGTGCAATTTGTCTCTAATTAAGATTCAGAACAGTGTACATTTTGAGCAGATGAATTATTTATGTATATGTATAAAATGGTTAGAATATTAATAGCTGTAGTGTTCATTGGTAACCCTGTGAGTAAAAGGTTCCCATTGAAGATGTTTTCACTGGTTCATGGTAAATTAAGAAAATAAGAACAACATTCCACATATCCATTTTTTATGAAAATGAAATGGATACATTTTAAAGCATTGTCTTTCATTTTGATATTATGTTTTTTTAAAAAAAAACTATTGTACTATTGTTGGTTTTAAAATGCCCTTTATTTTATAAAATAATATTTTATAAATAATAATAGATAATAGAAATGATAGTAAAAGTAGATTAGAGGTTACTATTACTTGGAAAAATAAAAAGCTAGAACTTCTATGTCAATTCCATGAATCTCTCACACACACATTTTTGGAATTTTTCTTTTTTTTTTCTGAAAGTTAAGATCTGGAAACCTGTGAGTGGAGTTTTGTTATCCCCATTTCAGGGATGACACACAGCGTTTAAGTTTGTTCATGGTTAGTTAAGTACTAAATGGTGGAGCCCGGGGGAATATCCAGGTGCTCATATACCAGCTTTTCATATTCCGAATCTTGTGCTCTTTTATCACCATTATCATGAGAATACGTGGCTGGATTGCTACATCATGTAGGCAAATTGAGAGTCCACGATTGTTCCCCATAGTGATGTGATTTGTTCATTATTTGAGGTATTCTTTCAATTTACAAAAGGATTCTGTTCTAATCTAAAAGTATATTCATAGGCCATTCATTTGAAATGTCTTCCCAGAGAATTAATTCTATAAAAGTTCTCAAGACTGACACCTTGAAGCATACTTAATCCATAATGAACAGAAGAGTACCAGGGACGCTGACTTCCGCTTTGTTGACATTTCTGTGGGTAAATGTGCCGACTTCTAAGAGTGATGTTAGGATCTTAAGTAGCCTTACTGCAGCCCTGGGAATAGAACTAGGAACACCTCCAACCACCTCTGCTCCTTCCATCCTCGCCCATGCATGAACAGGACCTGTTCAGAGAAGCAGAAAAGAAACAGAGCTTGTGTTACTTGGAAAATGAGGAGCAAAGACTTCAGACAAGAACCAATGACTGAGAAATGTCACAGGGGTTTGGCTGCTGTAGCAGATAAGAATCCGTAAGGTTTGAGGATCACACGAAGGAAGAGAGCAGCAACAAAGGACTGTAGATTTGGCAGTGATTGTCCACATCTCCTATTTTCTATCTCCAGTCTCTCCTTTGATTCTAGCAATAAATCTTGTGCTCGTCTGTCTGGAGTAAAGGTGGGGAAAGATCTGTGTTTGCCAGTAGAATGGAGTTTTATGTTCCATCATCTCCCTGCTTGCCATTACTGTGCAGACTCCTCCACGGGAGTTAGTGACTATGGGGACAGGCAAATGTTGGTTGAGAAGTTTGGAGTATCTTTCATATTTTTCAGTAGTGCAGAAAATTTGAAAGTTAAAGACTGGCTACAAAAAACCTCACAGGATGAATTTGATAGTATTTTATATCAAAACCATGTACACATTGGATTGCCTGCATCTTGGTTATAATGAATATGTCAGAAGGGTAAATCTTCAAGTACCTTTCAACCATAATTCAGGATTGTATGTTTCTGTTAACAAAGTCGATTTGTTAGAACTACTTCATATTAGAACTACTTCAAACAATAGGATTTTCACTTTTCTGAATGATTAATGCATCAATTAGATTTCAGTATTATTTCTTCCCCCTTAATTGCTGTAGTCATATTTAAAGTTGCCCGTTTTAGTTGATGGCCAGGATCCTGAGCATCTTCTCTTGTAGCCTAAGCATTTAACCATTTCCCACCACCTTTTAGAGTGCTATGAAAAAGTTGTCATTGAATAAATTCTGTTGAAGATATGAATTGCTCTCTTTTCATATATTTCAGCATTCATATCCACATGATGCTTGTTTTAATTCAGTTTTACTTTTTTCTTTAAAGAAACAGCTATAAATTCATTCTATGATCTTTTCTTCTCCCTTTTCATGCTGCTGCTGACTCACTAGAGAGACACCCGATCACAAATGCTATTGATGGAAAGAACACTTGGTGGCAGAGTCCCAGTATTAAGAATGGAATAGAATACCATTATGTGACAATTACACTGGATTTACAGCAGGTATAGTGCCTCTTTCTTATCATTTTCCACTTTTGAAATTGTAACTTCCATTTCAATTTGTTTAGTTATTAGTGCTTGGGTGAAAGGATACTCTTTCTCATCACCCTAAATTATTTTCTTGATGTAATGAACAAAGGATCCTATTCATTTGGTGTGTTGTCATTTAAACGTATCTGGCATTTATTTCTAAAGCACATTCTAAAATGGATACGTATGAAGGGTGTAGAAATAAGTTAGGAGCTGACTCTGTTTTAGTTAATTGGAGTTAATGATGAAAATATGGATCAACAAAATTTTACATAAAGGAAATATAATAGTGCCATTTTTAACTTTTGAAATACTTCAGTGTTTCCCCTCTGCTGATGGTTTGTGCACTTAAAGGTCCTTGGATAACAAGGCTCTTGAGTAAATTGCTTCTTATTATTGAGAGTTGAGGAAGCTGTGACAGTTGATTCTCAAATTAAACTTGGGCCACTGAATGAGGTAACAAGCCCTGTAGTTATATAAAATTGATGTTGGAAGTTGTTAGGGTTTGTGTTGCGTAGGCCTGGGTGACTTCTATGTTTAATTTCTTTCTTCTTCCTGTTCACAATATTTCGGTCAGGATAAAGTTATTAATAAAGAATAACCATCACCCCAAATTATTTAGACTTGCAAATAGGATGGAATCTGGGAAAATATTTCCGTATTTTGTTGTAATTCCAAATACAAAGGCTAATTTAATAGGCTGAAAGCTGAAACTGGAGGGGTTGAACTAAGCTGACCTCTTTCATTCAGCCTGTTTTTCTTTCACTCTCTGGAACCAGCATAGGAAAGATCTTTTGCCTCTCCTCCCTGGACTAGTATGAGACAGAGCAGCAAGAGAGTTTGGGGGAAGTGCAGGGGGATGGTCAAGATGGGTAATGTCAATTACTATATACTGTAGAGGTCATAGGTTGCCACAGTGTGGGGAACCCCAGCCAGTGGGCTATATCGGCACCAGGCATTTCCCTAATGGATGCCCTTTGCCATCAACAGGAGTACACCTTCCTTCTTCTGGGGTCTGGGCCCATTTTTTCAAGGGCTGCACACATTCAAGAGCTGAAAATAGCTGGATGGGGAGCAAGCAAGCTAGTAGGGCTCACAGCAGACCCTCCTTCCATCCACCTGGGACTCCTCAGGAGCTGAGCAGCTGGATGGCAGCAGGGGCTCAGTGCTGCAGCTAAATTGCCAACTGGCGTGGATTTAGCTAAATTGCCAACTGGTATGGATTTATTTCTACCTATCCTAGTCTATAGCAGCTGAATGTGATCCCTGAGTTAATGACACTTCCAAGGACGTCTTAGAGCACTTTCAGAGAATGGCATGGCAAACTACCACCGTGATCAATCATGCTTTAGGTCAATTAATCCTGTGCATGTCTTCTCTTGGGATCCTAGCCTCAAAATGGACTTTATCCTTCTCCTGGTAACAACAACTTGGTTCTTTATTGGTCACAGCAGTTCTCCCTCATCATGTGATCATCAAAAGTCTGCCTTTCTGGTCAAGAGTAAGTCTGCTGTCCACTGACTCAGGTCATATCCTGAGTCAATAAATAGTGATGTTTTATTGCTCTGGTTTATTCTCCACTTATTCTTTTAGATTTAACATGGAGCAAGAGAATCAATTATTAATACAGTTTGCACAAATCATTTGTACTATTCTTTGAGCTCAGCCACAATATAATTTACCTGATATCAAACATAGCAGCATTTTTTTCCTTCTAATTTACAACTGGATGGATCAATCACAAGTTTTTACTAAATCATTTCTATCCAACTTGCCTATCATTATTAATACAGTAAGTCAAAGAGGTCCCCTGAAAGCTCACTTTTCAATGAAGCCATTTATATTTCCCTAAGTTTGCTTTGCATCCCCACTCATTTGTTCCCACACAGTATTTTAAGAATTCTGAGGATTTGTCTTCCTGTTTTCTCTCACTTCCATTTAGTTTAACAGCCTTAAGATGAGTGAATACTCCAAGACATCTTTTGTAGTTCAGTCATCATAACAAGAAACAGAATTCTGTTTTTAACCCAGGTCTACCTGACCCCAAGGTCTAGAATTCACCAGGTGGGACAGGTAGAGAGGACATGTGCTCAAGTGGTCCCTTCTTCTGGCATGATGTCCACCCATATCCTTATTTACTTCAGCCCTATCCAACTTTCTACACATCAACTTACTGTGTGTTTAACACAAAGGGAACACAAATAATCTATACAATGAAATAAATCCTTATTTCTATGTGATTCAAGATTTTAATTTATTCAATTGTTCAATGATGGAAAGAATGAAGAAGGTTTTATTGAAATTCCTCGAACAAAAAGAGGCTCAGACTTCTCCTTTGGCCTCAGCCTGTGGAATAACAAACTTTGGGACATGCTCATAGTACCTGTTCAGCTTTGAAGCAAAACTGCAGGAAGGCATATTTTAATGCGTTGGCTGAGAAAATGCGGACATCCTTATTATGTCACTTAGTTTTTACAGTAATCCTGTAAGGCAGCTAGTATTACTTTGTAACATATATTGAGATCACACTCACTTCTGAACAACCCAAGAGTGCCATGGAATCAGTTATGCTGATGTGTAGGCATCTCATTCATTTCAACAAATAATCTACTTCTCTTCTTGGTCTATCCCTCAAAACTAGAAATGCAAACAAGATGGCCTTACAGCTACAAGATCACACTCCACATGTTCTTGACCTAATATTTTATTCATTGCCCTTATACAAATGTATTTAGTGGGACAGGTTAACAACTTAAAATGGGAGTTATATTTTGTATAAAAGGTTGAATTAGTATTTCTATGTATATATTACTATATGTTTAGAATTAATGTGAATAGCACAGAAGAATTTTTCCTAAACTCTATAACCATTAATGTAATGGCTGCACCCTTCTGTAATAATAAAGTATGAAGTACGTTAAAGTATTTCATATATTCAGGTGTCTTTTTTTTCATTTAACTATATTAAGGGTGATCAAATTTTCAGTCTTGAGGGACGGTCATTCTTATTTCATGTCAAATTCTTCTGTCACACTCTTCTTACCAATTTATATTAAAAGCATCTGTGTTCAAGTAGGAGTTTTAGAAATTTCACAAATACATGGAAATTAAACAACATGCTCCTGAACAACCAATGAGTCAAAGAAGAAATTAAAATGGAAATTAAAAAATATCTTGAGAAAAACAAAAATGGACACATAACATACCAAAACTTATGGAATGCAGCAAAAGCAGTTCTAAGAGGGAAGTTTATAGCAATAAATATTTGCATCCAAAAAAAGAAAGATTTCAAATAAACAACCTAACATTATACCTCAAGGAAATAAAAAAGAGAACAAACTAGGCCTAAAGTTAGTAGAAGGAAAGAAGTAATAAAGATCAGAGAAGAAATAAATGACACAGAGACTTGAAAAATGATAGAAAAGATCAATGAAACTAACAGTTGGTTTTTTGAAAAGATAAACAAATCAACAAACATTTAGCTAGACTAACTAAGGAAAAAAGAGAGAAGACTCAAATAAGTAAAATCAGAAATGAAAGAAGTGACATTAAAACTAACACCACAGAAAATACAACAAATTATGAGACTGCTATGAACAATAATATGCCAACAAATTGGATAATCTACAAGAAATAGATAAACTCCTAGACACATACAACCTACCAAGACTAAATTATGAAGAAATAGAAAATCTGAACAAACCAATAAAGAGTAAGGAAGTTAAATCAGTAATCAAATGTATCCCATCAAGGAAAAGTGTCAAATCTGATAGTTTCACTTCTGAATTTTACTAAACACTTAAAGAAGAACTAATAGAAATTCTTCTTAAACTCTTCCAAATAAATTTTATGAAGTCAGCATTATCCTGATACAAAAGGCAGACAAGGGCAATATAAGAAAATAAAATTGTGGGCCAATATCTCTGATGAACATAGATGCAAAAATCCTCAACAAAAGCAAATTTAAAGGATCACTCACCATGATCGAGTGAGACATCCCTGTGATACAGTATGGTTTTACATATATAAATCAATAAATGTGATACACTATATTAACAGAATGAAGGACAAAAATTATATGATCATCTTAATATATGCAAAAAAGTTATTTGACAAAATTCAACATCCTTTTATTTTGGTATAGAAGGAATGTACCTCAACTCAATAAAGGTTTAATTTCTTTCTTCTTCCTGTTCACAATATTTCGGTCAGGATAAAGTTATTAATAAAGAATAACCATCACCCCAAATTATTTAGACTTGCAAATAGGATGGAATCTGGGAAAATATTTCCGTATTTTGTTGTAATTCCAAATACAAAGACAAACCCACAAGTAACTTAATGATGAACAGTTTAAACTTTTTCTCTAAGATCAGGAAAAAGAAAAGGAGGCCTGCTCTTGCCCCTTTTCAACATAGTACTGGAAGGCCTAGCCATAGAAATTAGATAAAAATAATTGGAAAGGAAGAAGGTACATTTTCTCTGTTTGCATATGACATGATCTTACATAGAAAAAACCCTACAGACTCCACCAAATTCTAATAAATTTATTAGATCTAATAAATTCAGTAAAGTTGCAGAATACAAAGTCAGCATGCAAAATCAGGAGTGTTTATATTTTATATATTAACAAACAACTATCCAAAAGAGAAATCAGGAAAATAATCCCATTCACAATTGCTACAAAAACAAAAAACAAACAAAAACAACTTAGGAATAAGTTTAACCAAGGAGGTCAAAGACCTGTACACAAAACTATAAAACACTGATAAAACAAATTGAAGAAGACACAGATAAATGGCTTTTTTGTGTTCATGGATTGAAAGAATTAATATTGTCAAAATGCCCATACTACTCAAAGTGATCTACAGAATGCAATGCTTGTCAAAATTCCAATGATGGTTGTCACAGAAAAAAACAAATCCTAAAATTTGTATGGAACTGCAATAGAACCATTATAGTCAAAGCAATCT